GTGTGTGTGTGTGTGTGTGTGTGTGTGTGTGTGTGTGTGTGTGTGTGTGTGAGAGAGAGAGAGAGAGAGAGAGAGAGAGAGAGAGAGAGATTGTAAATGTGATCATGCTCTCAATACGTTTGCGGTGGCGAAGGGGAAGGGAGCATGACGATCTTTACGATGTGTATTCCTTCTCTCAATGACACACACGCACATACATGCACACGCTCACACACGCGCGCGCACACAGACACACACAGACACACACACACACACACATACAGAAAAAGAGAGAGGTGTCGACGTGTCGTGACGGTGGTCATGCTCTCGACACTTCTGCGGGGGCAAACATGAAAGGAGCGTAACCACCTTTACGGCGTCTGATGTGGATAGTGCAGAAAAACGAGAATGCATTGTGGTCGCAAGGCGGCCAAGAGAAGTGAAGGCGGCCAGATAGGAGATCGTGATAACCGATACAGGAAGCGTCATGTGGATAAAGAAGAACGACAAGCGTCATCAACAGAGTGCGAGGACAACCAGGAGGAGCAAAGACCACAAAATTCGGAAGAGGACGAATCAGAGGACGAGAACAACAGAGACAGCGACGACCTTGGTGAACGTGAATTGAATGAAAAAGAGGATGATGATAATGAAGACAATCATGAAGGCGGTGAAGAGAACGATGCACTCTTCACGAATGAGAAAGCCATAGGTATAACAATTTGCGAAATACTGTGAAGTTGTTTGTAGCATTATAAAAATGTTATAGTTAAGACAACAACAACTTCAAAATGGCTCTCCTATCTACGTTTTGAAATATAATTTGTACGTTCTTTACTAATGATCAAAGGGTCATCGTCTCTATGATTGTGTACTTATTTGTTTTTTGTATGACATTGTTGGAATTTGTGTGTGTATAGTTATGCGCGGACGCGAAAGACTATATGCGAACAAGAAAGGCGAGGTCAACAACCACATTATTGACAACATTCACACATTATATGCGCACTCTAAAATAGTGAAGCAATTGATGCATTGTGTAGCAAAGACGTTTTGTTTATCACGAGTCAAAGATGCAGAGATGTATCCGTCAGTCGACACATATGTGGATGCCTGCATGGGTATGATCACATCTTTGGACCCGAATACACGGCAGATCGTGGATCGGTCAATGAAGAGCACAACAACGACAACACTTCACATACAGGGATCAAGAGAATTATCGAACATCAGAGGAGTGATCGCTTTCGATATCGTTCGGACGTTTTGGAGCGCAACAGGGCTGCCTTATCCATGCAGAATTATTAGAGATCGTTTTGAGAGAAAGCGAGAGGAGATGAGGACACAAATGATAGAAGATTCATCATGGAGAGTAAGATGCAAAGAGTCATGCGCCGCAACGGAGTTCAAGAACTACGTTCGAGACATTTTATACATAGATTACAATGAAGTTGGTCGAAACGGTTGCACCCTTCAACAACTCGCATTAGCTTATTTGGTGTTAGATTGTCACATCAACAACAAAAGTCGGTCTGCGCACGGCAGCAGTAAAAAGGAAATGGGAAGGACAGAAGAAGTCATTGTAACAACGTGCAAGACTGACATCGGAAAAGTGACTATAAATGTAATCTCTCCAATCGAGATAAGACCGTTGAGCAAAGTTCTAGGAATATATGGGAACAACAATCTTATGGCGGAAAGAACATGAAAGATAGGGTCGTTCAAATGAAGAGCGATTATAGATTTTTGATTTTTTTTGAAAATAATGACGAGGTGATTGTTGAGGATAGGCCTTAGGACGCGGGTGACAATAGTATTTTGTACTTTCCGTATAATACTTTGACTTCGTGTACGCCCAGATAAATGCGAAGAGGTCATCAAAGTTGAATATGATATCGTGAACTATTGTGTGTGTGTGTGTGTGTGTGTGTGTGTGTGTGTGTGTGAGAGAGAGAGAGAGAGAGAGAGAGAGAGAGAGAGAGAGAGAGAGAGATTACGTTTTTCGGAGGTATTGCATGTTTGACAGGTGGTTGTGCTAAATATGACGACAAACGCCGTTGTTGAAAGAGAGCCTCACCACCCGCACGACGCAGAGTTCATCCACACACTAGAGAGAGAGAGAGAGAGAGAGAGAGAGAGAGAGAGAGAGAGAGAGAGAAAAAGAGAGGGTTTTCCGGATAAGAAGAGAAAGGTAGACAAGGGTTCTATTCAGGGAGGCAACTAACATGGTGACACAGACAGAGAAAGTGAAAGGTCAAATGGCCAAAAAAAAAGTTCGGGGGGAACGGAGGAGGGCGCTTGTTATCCAATCTTAGGCTGATTTGGAAGGAGATTTTTGGGTTCTGGTATATGCAAAACTGATATTTGTTACCAAGGGTGTAACAGGAATTGTGTGCACAGTCCTCGAAATAATGTAATGAGTGTTGTATTCGCAACTATAATTTCAAACACTATTTTGTTTTAGGGAAATGAAACAAAGAGATGGTCAATAAGAGAGAGGGAGAGACACACAAATCCTATATATAACGAAAACTCCATGACATGTTTTGTATTGAGCGCAATGAAAGTAAGAGATGCAATACACTTGTCTATGCATATTATTCTATTATATATGCAATAGTGGGTTGAAACATATATATATATATATATATCATTTACGATTCATTATTATTA